TGGTAACAAAACAGAAAAATACGCCAAAAATCAAAAAAAATTTAAAATAAATTTTTTCCCTCAAAGCATATAAGCACTTAATTTTTTTTCAGTCATCAAATGACGCAAGAAAGAGTAACTAAGTCAATAAAAAAAGCAGTATTGTTTTAGCCGAAAAGAAGAAAAAATAAAAAAAAACTAAACTTAACAATTCGAGTTGATGAAACTACAACCAATTTAAAAATTTCGATTCGGCCAGACTTCAAATAGCTAAAAGACTGGAAGCAGCTACAGTTAAAATTGTTTACAGCAAAAAAATATATATATTCTTAGATCTGGTAACTAAACCGATAAATCATAAGCAGACAAATAATAGGCCGATTTTTTTTGAACCGTTACAATTACCGTTTGAAAAAAAACAGGTCCTGGTCAGCCTTGAACCCAGGACTTATACCGTTCCAACCGTATTGTTTACCGCCAGGCTAAGTGTGCATGAGACAGTTTAAAACTTGAAGTTTAAGAATCAAGGTACCATCAAGAGTTGATGAGTCTTCTGAACCAAAATATTTTCGGGAAAAAAGTCTAGTACCCGATTGCAATACCCATACTAATCGCAAAAGTAACTCATATCAGAATTGATAAAACAGTGAACTATATAAGCACGTGTTGCACAGCAGGAAACTCAAACATATAACATGCACAAAAATGTCTCTACAAGTTTTACCAGTTTGACCTAGATTGTCAACACTGACTCAGTTATCTGCCAGAGTCCATTCTTGTTTCGATAATGCTTGCTTATCTTGAGCGTTAAGATATAAGTGATTGATAATAGAAGAAGGATCTCGTTAACTATATCTCCTTCAGCAAAGGGGGAAGATTCGTTATTAAGTTTAAAATTCTTATATGCTTAACCATTTTTATAAGGGGGAGTTTCGTTAATAGATACCCGAGGGGGATATCCTAAAAGTATCCACTCATTCCCAGCTTCTCGAAAGTAGAAAAAATATCATTCACCTGCTTTTTTCTTGCACTGATAATCGGTCTGACTTTAAAGTTTAACCTTTTAAAATTGTCTGATTGTATAAAATTCAGCATTTTTTCTTGCCCTAAGAAAATTTGGATATCCCTATGAAAATAATCGATTGAAGGCGTCTTCAACTTTTCCAGAATTCAATTGGCAATTCATTATAGACGAAAAAATTCAAAACTTGCTTACTTTATCTAAGAACTTGATTTACGTTGACAATTGATATGATAATAGTTACAAAGCGAATTCTGTTGGATGTTACGTTCTTCTTGCTCAATATCAAGTCAGAAATTCACAGAAGCCAAGCCGAGCTGCGCAAAACTGGTGACATATCGTAAATGTAGCATTGCAGGCTAGAGTATAGAAAATGCGACGGCATTGCAAGTCAAAGAATAGAAAATGCGACGAGGAAATCAAGTCAAAAATTTCAAGAAGAAAATGTCAAATTAAAAAGTTTTTATAAACATGTCAGGATTGACATTCAATTTGAGAAAAAGGCTTCAAGACCCATAATTTCTATCAATAAACTAGGTGGTAATTGGGCAGATAAAACTTGAGTACACTTATGTTGGGCCTAGAAAATATCTTTGAAAATTTTGTGCTATAAAAAATTTAAAGATTTGATGCTGGAAGCACAAAAACGTTACCGAAGCACAAAAATAATATAAAAACTTTGCTGTTTAACCAACCTAATATCAGGCAAACTAGCAAAAAAAGTGCTCGCCGAAACCTTTTAGGCCTCAGCAAAACATGATTATATAAACAGAGCCTTCTCGCTAAGTCCATGTTTTCGTAAAAGGGCCGGCAAAAAATGAGAGGACAAGGATAGTCCTGCAATTCATTTTTTTTTTCAGGAAAAACAATTCAAAATTCAAATGTAAAAATCCAGTTACAACTGGGGTTCAAACTCCAAACCTTAGGCTTCTAAAGTACGCACTTAACTCCTAATTATAAAACTTGTGAGAGCAAATGTCTTGAAACCTGGAATTGGATTTTTCCAGGAAACAATTTTTCTTGACTTTCTTCCCTTCTTTTCACTTCTTCTCTTCCCTTCTGTTTATATTTTACAGATTTCCTCCTTGCCCTGGTGGTAGCGCGGTTGCCTTTGTACCCTAAGTTTGGGGTTAAAATCAGTTTTTTTTTTCAGAATCAATGAAGTTGAAAAATCCCGAGAAAGTTAGAATTGTCTGATTTTCGTTTGTCGGCTTAGTTGCTATATAAAAGATTTTTATATAAAAGAATTTTCACGACCTTCGCAAGTGCAGGGACTCCATTTGTTTTCGGTTTAAGCGGAGTATGCTCAACAATTGTCAGATTAATAATCACATCAATGTACTGTATGCAACTTACATCGTAGTCGCAAATGTAAGTGCTGCTCATTGTAGTTTCAATTAAGGGGTCAAATTTTTTTAAATCTCATTTAAGCTGGCTCACTTTCTATTAGCTCAAAAAATTGTTGGTTTTGTTTCCACTTAAAAAACTTTGTTTTGTTGCTCATTTAATTCTTGAAAGACTGCCATTTTTGCCTAGAAAAAACTTCTATTGAGACATACGAAAATATAAATTTTGTTAGACTTAGTTTTTTAAACATTTTTTCATTTTTTTTTCATTTTCGAATATTTTTTGTTTGTTGTGGCGCAAGTGGTTCAAAGCTCCGCTTTGTCTGTTTTACAGCTATGTTCGTTACAAAGATAAAATTACTTACAATTTTGCGAACAAATTGGACGTGAAGTAAAATGTATACAAAAAAAACAACGAAAAATAATTCTACCGTAAAATCAAACAAAATGCATCAAAGGTCGTTTTTTAAAAGGTTTAGGAATAAATGCAACTTTTAGGGTAATTTTTTATAGCTTCGTATTCTTACCTCAGAAATTAAACTAGGCCGACAGCATACAATTGCAGCTTTACCAAAAAGTTCTTGAATGAAGTTTTTTTTTGAACTTGAGATGTTTTTGTACATGAGATAGATTTTTATAAATAAGATTCTTTTTAATTTAGTTACTCAATTCCATAAACTATTTCGCGCGCATTCATCAATCGTTTTATCTTGTGAAATAATTTAATAAACATCACCCACTTTTTCAAAATTGTTTAAAAAACAATAATTATTTCTGAGATCCTCAAATTTTTTTGGGGACTCATAATTTGAGGCATGTTTTGTAATCTATGGGATAACCCGGACAGCACCGTACCATAGTGTTAAAAATTTCATATTTTCAGAAGTTTTTTTTGATGTTTTTTTCTTCGAAAAATCATAAAGCATCATATCTTAGAAATTATGAGAACTTGCGCAGTCATACTTGAAGGCCACTTCTGCATCTCCTGGAAATACTTCACATCATACTGCCCATGTGTCAATAAATTAATTTTAGACCCTTTTGTAATTCTTTTGTAGATTCGCAGCTCCGGGAGAACCTGACAGCACTGCACTATTGAGTTGCTTTTTCTTGTGAATTAACATTTATGTGAAATTACTTCGAAAAAGAAAATGATATATATTTGTTTCGCGAAAAACAAAACTATACGGTTTAAACATCGAAGCTCCAACGGATGTTCTTAATTTTGATTGCTCGAGCCATTTGTGACTTTTCCTTTGTAAACGTTCGCACTTTGTAACTTTTAATTGAAACAAAGTTAGAAACAAAACAGGGCAAGGAGAGTAATGGAAAACTCAAAAGAAGGAGAATGATTCGACACATCATTTTCATGGCGACCAACTAAATTGAAGTCCCCTTGGTTTCTGTTGGTCAAGCTGGCAAGGGTTGAAGTTTTTCACAATTGCAAAGCTTTACGAACTACTAAATCAGGAGTACTACACATCCGGTAAGATTACAATTTCCGAAATACTTCAAAAGTAGGAGTACTACACATCCAGAAACCCTACCGCATGTCTACATTCAGGTCAGTTCATTCCATTCCATTAATAGTCAGTTATTGGTGTTTGTGATGAGTTTTGGCGTTTTAAATTGCCAATGTCAGTTTATTACAGAGTCAGTTTCTTACAGAGAGATAGATTTTGGGTAAAAATTGTGTTATAATTTCGGTGTTCCTCGGGGTACATTGAAAAAGACCTCGGGGTACAAAAAAAATCAAAATTTTGCAAGGGTACAGTTGTTTTTTTTTATGACTTAGTCGACCCCAATTGTCATTCAATTTTAGAAAAAATAGCGCCGTAGAGTTCATAGCTCATCTTAACATAACGAAAAAAAATAGGTAGTTGAGGTTCTGAAAAATTTCAAGAGCTAAAAACGCCCAGTAAACGTTCTTCACCATTTAAATAAAATTTTCAAAACAAATTGAAAGTTCTATTGTTTTTTTTTTAATTTTCACATGTAAAAACAGGTTGTTACTGAAAACTTTCAAACATTTGACAGTTAACTTTCCTAAATCAATTACTACTGAGACCTTTTTGGGCAATATCACGCACGATATTTTTTATAAAAGAAACGGGGGCTGTCGTCAAGAACGGTGCGATGCGTAATTAAGAAGATGTACATTAACATTGATATAGAATACTTTAAAACGTTGATTTTGGTGAACATTTTAAATGCTGCAATTTAATTGCATTTTAATGTGTCAAGTGAAACGCCGTGTAAATAAGATATATCAATATTATATAGATACAGATAAATTTCTAAGAATATGGCTAACGGGAAATTCTAGTTCTCGATGACAAGTGACTTGATCTCGGAAGTGAAAAAATATATCATGGCCCAGCTTCTCTACTTAATTCCAAAAATGTACTGAGCACATTTCGAAAGCAACGCCGAAAAAATGTTGAATTTCAAAATACTTTTATGTCCACCAATATTTAGGAGCAAAAATGTTCTTAACCTGATTGCTATTACTTTTTTAGTCTGAGGGGTGATTTTTAAAGCGATACAAAATTCAATAAATTTGTTTCAGATGTGCGAAAACCCATTCATCTTGGAAACTGCAATAATTTGTAGAAACTACTAATGCCTTAAAGGAAGCTTTTTAAAAACCAGGATATCTAACAATTCATATGTCTTTCAAACTATAGTTTTATTCATTTTTTACGCCAAATAGTTAAGTAACTAACATAATTAAATGCAGCAATCCTTAAATTCATGAACCAGTCATAAAAACAAAAGTTCCAGTCTCAGTTTTGAATTCGAGTCTTTTTATTTGCTTTCCATGTATTACTTGTTTCTCGAACTTCTCATTTCAAGTCCTACTCGACCTGGATATGCTGTCGGTTTCTGAGCCCGTTTTTTTTTCGACTCAAACAAATGTGAGCCCTGCCACCTGGTACATTTCGAATATTTTCTCGATTGCGTTGATGTAAGCAGCAGTTCTTAAATCGATTCCCAAGTTATACAACTCGCAAGTGTTTTGAATCCGTCTCGCGGACCTTTCCATCGTATACGACAAACCACTGTGTACTATATCTTTTTCACTGGCCCCCCGAATCCGTTCTAAAAACGCTGCGTTTGGTTTCACTTCAATAGTCTCCTTGAACTTTTTCTCCAGGCTTTCTTGCACACTGTTCAACAGATGGTAGTTCGAGTCGGTCTCATGTTTGAAAGTTAAACGTCCGTAACTCACATGATTCAAATTCTTTAACCACTCGAAGTACGAAACAGTCACACCTCCTGCGTTTAAATACAAATCGGGCAGCACTAGTATCTTTCGTTCTTGCAAAATTTGGTCGGCTTCTGGGGTTATCGGTCCGTTGGCCGCCTCAGCTACAATTTTGGCTTGAATCTTATGCGCATTTCGCGCTGTGATGACTTTTTCGATGGCAGCTGGTACCAAAATGTCGCATTTTTCAGTCAGCATCGATTCCCCAGTGTAAGGCTTCGCATCTGGGAATCCAACTATAGTTCCATTTGCTATATAGTACTGCTCCAGAGCTGCAGGATCCATTCCGTTCTCATTGTAGATCGCTCCATCGTGTTCTGAGATCCCGATGACCTTAGAACCCCACCTGTGCAGGTATCTCATAGAGTGCATTCCTACGTTTCCGAACCCTTGAATGATAACCGTTTTGTCCTTGATCCCCGTTGTCATTCCTATGGCTTTCATCATTTTCGGGTCGTTCGAAAAATTATCAATGCCGTGGAAAACACCTCGTCCCGTTGCCGAGATCCTGCCGTGAATGCCGCCCATTCTTATTGGTTTTCCAGTTACACACGCGAAAGCATTCAGATCTTTGTGTCCATGCGTCATTTTGTACGTGTCTGCAATCCAACTCATTTCTCGTTCCCCTGTTCCCATATCGGGAGCCGGAACGTCAATGCCAGGACCCAGAAAGCCTTTATTTGCTAACTCGCATGTAAAACGACGCGTTATTTTCTCAAGCTCATTTATACTGTAATTTTTTGGGTTTATTTTGATTCCGGCTTTGGCGCCGCCAAACGGAACATCAACTACTGCACATTTGAAGGTCATTAAAGCAGCTAAAGCTTTCACTTCTTCTATGTCGACGTGTTCGCTGTAACGGATTCCTCCTTTGCACGGGGTTCTGTGCTCTGAATGCTGAGCTCTGTAACCTGTTACTGTTTCTGTTCGCCCGTCATCTCTTCTAAGTGGAAATGTTAATTGGATAACATTATTGCACGGTTTAATCACACTTAGCATTCCGCGAATGTATTCTAATTTCTTCTCCTTAGAATCTCCTGGTATGCTTTTAGATTGGACCATTTGGCTTTCCATTTTGGAAGCTGCGGTCTCAACGTATCCTTGAACCATTTGGTAAAAATTGACATCATCTGCAACAGAGGAGCTTAAAAATCGCAGTGAGCTTCTGGCTGTAACATTCAGAACGTTCTTCGTACTGAAGGCTGTCAAATATGTGATGCTAGAATTTGAAGCGAAACTTTGCTTCGTAAAAATTGAGGTTCTGCGTACTAATGATGACCTGAACATTATTGCAACCTGAAATTAATGTGACAAGAATTAAATTACAAAGTTGGGTAGTCTAAATGGATCAGTCTATATTTTGCAATTGTTTGTTTATGGTGTGTCAGGGAGTGACGTGACAATTAAGCGGTTTGATTGGTCAAGGTAACTCTTGGGAGATACGCTCTCATGCCGACGAAATTATTAAATCAGGAGCAATTAGCCGAAAACCTTTAAAGATTCGCGTAAGAAAAGTTATCGGAATTTTCTTGAGACAATTAAGTTTAATATCTAACTGAAAGGAACCAGATTGCGAGAAAGCAAAACAGTCACAAAATACTTCAGCTAAATGAATTTCTGTCCAGAAGAACCGAACAAAACAGTACCATATGACACCACCATATACAATTATTATATACACACAACAGAGTAACCACCAAAACTCATAGAGTGTGTATATATCACCAAGCATATACGGTTGCTCATTCATTTACTCCTATCAACTGCGAATACATTTGGATTCAGCAGTCACTAGTGTACTCTAGCATTACATGATTGGTTAAAACTGGGGGTGTTTGAGACACTGTAGAGCTGAACTGGCATCTATTAAGATTTTAAGACGATAACCGTATGACCAACATCGTACAAATTTTCTTTGAAGAAGCGGTGAATATATGATAATGAAACAAGTTCAAACTGTGATTAGATTACTACCTGCGTCGAACCATAACCATAATAGTCAGCCATATGGGTCAAATATTCAGAGGTTGCAGTCAGTACGCCTAAAGACTTCCAACGTTCTAGGCACACTTCAACCACACAATGCACTATACCGGGATCATATAATAATGAAATTAATTCTAATTTTCTCTTATCATATATTTCTCAAAATCATGATCAATTCAAGTTCCATGTTAACAATTGCCGTGTCATGAACTTCAACAAGTTCAATGATGTTTTCCACGTATTAGCTCTTAATAGATCTCTGAGGAATGGACGTGACACAAAGCTGATGGCAAAGAATTCAAAGAAGCGATTATGCGAGGTAACCTAACTGCAAGACAAACTCGATGATGAACTTGTTGATGAACATCAATAATGATGATTCTAGTCAACGGGTAGCCGACTACTTGAAGACTTGAATTATCGAGAAATATTATCAACAGAACGCCTGCTCATTGTCAAAAGGTGCTATTGCCCTCTCAATATTTGCTACTGTAAATGTATCTTTCTTTGTTTTCATTCTTTTTGTAAATTCCACGTAAGTGTTATTAAGTCTTACATTACTACTACTAAAACTTCATTTTTGTTCGGACCAATAAAGTATCATATTCAAACCGTATTGATAGGAATTCGAACTCGATAGGAAAGAAGTGATGCGGTAGATTAACGATTAAGTACCAAGATGATTTTTAAAAAAATCTTCTGGAGTTTTCAAAATGATTCATTTTCGATTTTTCAAAATAAATTCATTGGTCGGAACATTCTGTGCCACTTTCACAGCGACCGACTATCCTTGTTAGTAATATCCTTGTTATTTTCGACCATTGAAAATGAGGAGAAACTTTGTATTCGGGTGTTTTGTAGTTTAATTCTTTTTGTTTTCCACGCAAAATCAGGTACCATAAATAATCATCGTACTGGTTGTTTGAGTGATATACAATATTGATGTCCTTCCAGTCGTGATTCGAACGAAAATGAATTATTTGCAAAAATTCTACCAGTTAAAATTTTTTGTTTTTCCGTCTAATTTCGACCGAGTAAAGAGATCGAATAACGTTCGTATTATATTAATATTACCAATTTAGGCTAAAAATAACACTATTTTACAAAAAATAATTACTTTAGGAAACATTAGTTAGCGGTTCTCTGGTAAAAAAAACTCGAACTTGAAATTTTCAGTGCAAAAAAATGGGAAAAAAATCATTTTTTTTTTGAAGATAATTGAAGTCGTCTATACCTAATGCACTTAAATTCTACGCGTTTGTATAGATCTATCATGACACGACATATAAGAAAAGACACTACTCGAAGAAAAAAAATTTTGAGCGAGTTTGGTCGGAACATTCTGTGCTATTTGCACAGCAACCGGCTATCCTTGTAAATAATATTTGGTCAGCAAATTCTAAGCTGCTTGCACAGCATCCAGCTGTGCTTGATAGAGAAGTAATATGTTATAACATCCTTAGTCAGCAACCGGCTATCCTTTTATTTTCAATTAGCTACAAAAAGGAGAGATTTAAACCTCACACGATCTTCGCGACGCTTTTGTTACAATATAACTATAACAGACTATAAGTAAAACTCACAACTTTTCTACATAGAGGCGCAGCTAAGATTCGCACCACGTACGACCAAGAACCACCAAATTGTACAAAAATGAAAACCGGCCGAAAAAAAAACGAAACTTTCATATTCAAATGAAACTCATTTTGATGAAAACTTGAGGCAAACAGAATGGTTAACTTTGAATCAGCATCAAAAAACTTAGTGAGTGGTAACTATGCAGACAAACTTGGGTAGACGCATTTTCAGCCGTTAGGAAACAATTGGAAAGTACAAACAACCATGACTTAAATCAACTTACCACGACCAACTTCTGTCATACTGTGACCAAAATTACTTGAGGGGAAAATTCTAGTGCCCGGTTGCAAACCCCTTATTTATGTAATGGGTAAAAAACAAAAAATGATTAACAAGAACTAACCTGCATCAAAAAACTTAGTGAGTGGTAACTATGCAGACAAACTTGGGTAGACGCATTTTCAGCCGTTAGGAAACAATTGGAAAGTACAAACAACCATGACTTAAATCAACTTACCACGACCAACTTCTGTCATACTGTGACCAAAATTACTTGAGGGGAAAATTCTAGTGCCCGGTTGCAAACCCCTTATTTATGTAATGGGTAAAAAACAAAAAATGAATTTTTGTCTAAGCGACCTGTCATTATTTTCTAGTTAAGACGCTTTGCTTTTTATGCAATCATTTAAACCCCTTACTTATCTAATGTGTAAAAACCGAAAGATTGAATTTACTTGCCAAAATGAGCTGTTGCTTTTTTCCGAAAAAAAACTATAGAATTTGGTGAAAAAATGCAAGAACTAATAGCTAAAATAGTTTTGAAAGTGTAGTAGAATTAAATTGAGAGCTCAGTCTCTCATAGGGTATAAGTCGTAAATTTTGAAAAAACTCATTTTTCGAAATTCGAAACAAGACCCATAGTGCTTCAATATGACACCACACAATATCCCCCTACAAGCTTTCTTTGAGGTATTCAAAATCGAGAGAAAAATCACACCCTACGCCATAGTTCCATCTCTTCATTAAGAAAATCGAGACAATACTTATTATATTGGATACACTACCACTTACAATCATTACAGCGTTAATTTCAAGTTTCATTCGGTCTTTCATGACCAAGAAATTACATTTTTCTTTTATTCAGGCTAAATCAGAAACTTAATTTTAATCATCACCTAAATATTCACGACTAGGCTTTTAATCAGACATTAAATTTTTAAAATTAGACTCACGATTGAACTGTCTTTAACATCCCTGAAATTACAACAGAACAACACATTGACCATTTTTCTGACCACCCAGCCCTAGGGTGATTGACGGAGCTGTACCGACTGAAAGTTCTTCACCCTTATGCCACAGTCGAACATGTGGTACTTTAGGTTACCTGCATGATTTTCAAACCGAACGACGTTTGCAATATGAATCAAGAATAAAATCACCTTTATAGAACCTACTCATCTGATAATGATTGCTCGTGCTAGTAGGTTCATGCACGGGAATTTTTCGACAGGCCATTATTTTGAATAATTTTCTTGACCTGCGCTTTAGATTAGCCATTCTGAATTTAAGGATAACCATATTTCGAAAAACTTATTGAACTGCAGGCAATTTTTGGGATAATATGCCATTTTGAGCCTTTTTGCAATGTTTTAATAAAAACGGTACCTCTTTGGAGTTCAGTCTCCTTAAAATTAGAGTACAAATTGGCGCTTTAGTTTAATTTTCGGTTTGGTTGGCCTTGGCCAGAATTGGCTGTCGTAAAAAGTATCTAAATTAGACCCTTTGGTTAATTTAGCAGGCAGAGTCGAGGAAGAGGATCAAACCACACCTCCCCTTCACCCTCGGTACGCTACTGGCTCATGAAAAGAATTTGAGATAGAATTTAGAATTTTCAAATGATATGCGACGAAAAATATAGTTACTCTGATAATTCAAAACAATAACCAGTTAAACGATGAATTAATGGAAAATTGCGAGCAACCTCAATGTACAACTTGAGGCACAATCTTGATTGTGCAACTTCTGAGAAGAATTACCTGGAAATCAATTCCTTAATAGTAATCAATGTGTCGTGCTATCACCGTCGTATTGTGACTTGAAATTTTAACATTGAAAGGGTAGAAAAAGAAGTCGTAGCCGTGTTATATTCCGTTCTTAAATTACTGGTTCGGTGGTTGAAACCCAAATTAACAGCAGCACATCATTCTGAGACTTGGATAAAAATGCTTTTTCCAGTGAATGAATCATGGGCCGATCTTATTTTTTTTATTGCGTAGATGCGTCATTCGATGAGTTTCATTGCATATCTTTTAGGCGCAGAAACATATTTTACCAAATTTTTATGTGCTGCGTTTTTTTAAAAAAAAAATAACATAGCCGATAGAAATTTGGAAAAGAGTCAATGAACTCAATTAAACAGAAAACTGACTTGTTTTTTGAAAAAATCTCAAATTTAGATTTCAAAGAAAAAATAGATGCCCTTAAAACTCTATGAATTTCTAGAACAATTTGTGATTGGCACTTTTTTCGATATAATTAACCCAATTTGAGAAAAATGGATCAATAGGTTAATTTTTGATTTCGCTAGAAGATCTGAAAACTAGGCTCCAATTTCGAAACTAGAAGTTAATCACGTTTTTTCGCGCCATTTCCACGTTTGTATTTGGTGAGCAAATTTTGCCTACGTTTTAGCAAATTAACTTGAATTGAGTTCAAAAAGTGCACATTTACCTAAGATCATTCATCAAAGTATTAATATGTGTGGATGCACTTTCTGTAGTTAATAGAGCATTTTTCAAGTTTTTTTCTCAAAAAAAAAATAAATCGCTAAGACCTATATGAGAGTATTCACTACGTTCATCAACTCTTAATACAGACGTGCCCTTGATTCACTTTATACTAGTTTGATGTTCTTGACTGAATTTCAGGCAAACAACCATCAAACCATTTTCGATCCGATAAAAAAAATTGTTGGATGGAGCAGGACAGAAAAACTATTCGTAGTTCCGACCATTTGAAAAATGGGGAGGAGCTGTATTCAAGTGTTTTAATTTTTTCTCTACTTTTTGGTTTTCCACGCAAAATCAGCTACCACATGAATCATTAGTGAGTTATTGATATATCAATTCAAAGCTCTTTCAGTCGTGATTGGAACAACGTTTTAAATTTTTTTTTAAAAATTTCCCAGTGTCGAGAAAAACTGGTTTGAAATTATTGATTTTTCGTCTAAAATCGAGCGACTAAATTTATCCTTGATTTAGGCCGTTTACAATAGCTTATTTATGCTTAATTTTAATTTTTCTCGAGTAAAAATAGTTTTCAGAGATTTTTAATGCCATTTTTAGAATGAAAAACTTGAAAATATTTATTTTTAAAATTTTTTTTGAATGATATTTGTTTTTCGAGTCATTTTTCTTCAAACTCTGTTGTTTTGTTAGCTAAATAACTATGACTGTCGAATATGTCGAAATATTAGTGTAGCGTCAGATCCTTTTATCACACCACGCAGGAAAAAAAATTTTTCTTAATATTTTTAAAGACTACGGTCGGAACATTCTTTGCTACTTGCACAGTAATCAGCTATCCTTGCTTCAATTCAAAAAAAAATTGTTGTTTTCAGGCTCTTGAGCCGTAGTATCATGTGTTATTTGTTGATATTCAGGCAATTATTTTTATGACATATTTTTCTCAGAGTTGTTGGAATTCCTGATTGATAATAAATTGATAATCTGTTTACACTATAGATTTATAAGATGACATTTGATGCCAAAGTAGATGAATGCATTTACAAAATACTGTGTGAATTGAATTACCAGCACCATTGCAAAATACATCCATCAAATTCACGATTCCGTGCTACTAGGACTAGCAGGCGAATTCCCCAGGACTTTACTACTACTACCGTTCGCCAGGAAACTCGCATTACTTCCATTACTTTTATCGCCTCCCGCGTCCACGTTTTTCAAATCGACTTCTTTGGCAAGACTGTCACGATGATTTGTCACTTTTACCTCATCCATCTGATGCCCGGTAGAATCTTGAAACGAGTTGTTATTATTATTCACACCATTCAGTAGATGTTCACCGGTGAACACCGAAACTGCTTCTTCCAAAGAGGCGAAATGGTCCCAACTTGGCGGCATTTCATCGTTACAACGTGATCGGTCCAAGGTAGATAACACTCCTGGACAGGCTCGTATTAGAAAGACTTTAACTCCTTTCTTCTCTAGAAAACTCTTCACGGTGGCAAGGCTAACACAAACTGACTGGTCAATTTGCCAAACCCGGTCTAGATCTATGATGCAACATTTGGGGTCGACGGTATTCTGACCGACAACTTTCTTTTTCTCAATTTGCTCGAAGTGTTCTGAGAATGTGTCAACTATCACTTCAGCTGAGGGGAAATTTAGACCGTGGTCGAATCTGGCTATCACCAGAGCTCCTTCGCGGAATCGGTCCAGACGTATTCTTGGACTTGCCATTGGACACAGACTCATTAGCAATGAAAATACAATCCCAGATATAATACCATATTCGGCGGAGGTTAAACAGCACATGAGAATTGTTAGCACCACTGTTAGGAAATCTGTCTTTTTTGTTTTGAACAAATGAGTTATAATTTTGTAATCAAAATTGAAGATAATACTTGAAATGATTAAGGCAGCAAGTGAGGCTTCCGGAATGTATTCGAATAACGGAGATAGGAAAAGTAAGGCTGAAAAGACAACTATCGATGTGAACAAACCACCCATCGGAGTTGCAACGTTGCACTGTGAATTGACGGCCGTCCGGGAAAAACTTCCAGTTATTGGGTACGCGTTGAAAAACGAAGACGCCACATTTGCGAGTCCAATCGCGACAAGCTCTTGAGTCGTATCAATTCGGTAGTCGTTTTTGCGAGCAAAGGACTTCGCAATTGCAATACTTTCCAGAATACCCAACAGCGGAACTATCAGAAACCCTGCCTTGATATCAACTACCATGTCTACAAGTGAAACTGTAGTGTTCGTGGCTTTGTCTACGAACCCAAAAGGCGGCATCCCTATTGGAACTTGGCCTGCGTTTTCAATTTTCTCCACAGTCGAGAACTGGTGATCGCCGACCACTGACCAAATGTATACAGCAAAAGACGCAGTCAGAACTACAACTGCGTTAGAACCAATGCAGATGATCCAAAATACTTTCCTTATTATCCTAATTACATACGAGGGCGAGTCACCTGTGTTTTTGAATAGCGTCGCACTTCTAAGATATCTCAAAAACAGAAGGATGACGAGACACATGACTCCCAAACTCAAGTCCCACCAATTGATGTGCTTGATGTACCTGAACGTCTGGTACACCTGTTGGTATAAATGATCTCCGTCTATTTTATCGTTGCCTAGCAACGCACCAACTTGTCCGTAAGCTATGGTTAAGGCTGCGCCAGACGTGAAGCCAGATATCACAGGATGCGACACAAAATTAATTAACATGCTAAGTTGTAAGACTCCAATTAGTAATTGGGTTATACCTGCGCAGAATGTTAATAACACTGCATATTGAGGATAGTTTCCTTTGGTATATGCTGCCACAATTAAGGACATTACAGCCGTTGGCCCCATTGTTATGTCTTTGGCGGTTCCGAAGATGAGGTACACTAGTGGACCGATGTACGAAGAGTAGAGTCCGTACTCGGCAGGAAGACCGGCAACTTTGGCATACGCTATTCCCTGTGGCACAACAGTTAAAGCCACTGTTATTCCCGCTATGAAGTCGCGGAGTAATTTGGACCAGGAGTAAGTTTTCAACCACGTAAAGCAAGGAAAGCGTCGATTAAAAGTGAAGAAACTGTCGACACAGTTACATAAAGAGGCGCCAACACACCCCGCACTGACGTTCAAATCCCCATTGTCCAGCAATGCCGACGATCTTTTCGGCCACGTTGAGATGAAGTCACTTTCGTCGTCGTGGACTGTCGGCTGTTCGAACAGACGTGAAGATGTATCGGGGAGGTGTTGGTCAGTAACAGTTAGCCGATGGTTAAGTAATTCCGCATCTTCGTCATTTACAGTTATGGCGTGAACATTTTGATTCACTTTGATCTCCGTCATGCTATAGTTATAACTCTGGTTAGGACTAGTTATGAACTAATTAAGATGATAATGAGATGCAGCTGGAAGGAAGATAACTAGAACGGAATAAGACACTTGAAGATATGTAACGTTAAAGCTCAGCTCCAAGAAATGAAAGTTTTTGAACTACAATAATGCTTCAAAATAGATTAAAATTCTGCAAAGTATTGCAATATTGCAAACACACGACTTTCATGCAGAGATGAAACACGAATTTATTAATGGGCAGATTTTGTGACATAAAACAATGGATCGTTAATATCAAAATTGCGCCGATAGCGCAGTTGTATAGAAATTGATGACCCTTCGCTCAAAATAAGAGCGGTTATCCAAAGCAAAGTAGCACGCCCGAGGATAAAAAGAAAAAATAGTCGCTGAAAGTAAATAGAAAGCGGTCTTATCGAACCATTAAGTTTTAGCTCAAATAAAACCACTCCATTCTAAAATTTACACAATATACTACAAAATTTGATCTGGTTTGTATGTTCAGCTAAGAGTGCTTAAAGCATTACATTTAAGATGAAGTTTCACCTTAACGCTTTCGGAATGTCCCTGGTTTAACTCAAGGGCTTTAAAAGCCAGCTGAATTTTCGAACTATTGAATTCGTTCACAAATTTGCTTTCCCAATGTTAACGATTTGATTGCCCAAATAAAATCGAACAAATAGCAATAAGTTATACACAAAGTCTCTTTTAAAGATCAAATTCTAACTTCGCATGTCAAAATCAAATTTCTGTTTTCGGGAACAATTTTTGCAAATAGAGGCGATGAATACGCTGCAGAACTTTAACTTCAGCCAAAACAAACTTGACTGTTCTTTTATAAACATAATTCGCCTCGTGTTGTTCCAAAGTAATCTGCTATTTTCTTATCGCCCTCGAAACTATATTCACAACTTGTTTACTTCAAGTTAACAACCGATGTGTTTGTGGCCGATGGCGATGTTTACTTGACCCCCGTCGATTATCAACCTGGGGCAAATTTGTGTTCCTTCCAAGATGATGTTGTTGCTACCAGCTCAGCTACTTCTCCGATAATTGTAACTGATCGATTCCCATTCATTACAAAAAGCGATGAATACAACAAAAATTATCTGGTTATGACGTTGTCAATGAACTATAACGGTTAAAAGGATATGTCTAGATTAGGGTCTCGATATGTCGCACGTGATTTAAAGTGACCTTGAAAAACTGAGGTATGGACATGGTGGGGTTGTGATTGGATGAAGTCTATATCTACAATTTATCTGAAATTAAAATAGCCGATAATCAATACAAGCTGTTATACAAATAGAAAATTATGAAGAAATGCAAAACAATATCCAGACAAAGAAAGTTGAAAAAATGGTTAACCTCATTCTTGATAACTCGTAACAAACGGTCCATGTTTTACCCAAGTTTGACATTTGCATCATAGGAACAATATGTTATCCGCCCAATTTATCCCACAAATGGTGACAAAAAAAACGACGGCTGTTCAAGTGGCAGAGTTTTCCGACCAAAAAAATCATGGCAGAAAAAAATCAGGTTAAGAAAATCTTTTCTTTTCATTTTTTGTACTATGTACATCTTAAGTCGTTGTTTTCGTGGTTAAAAGGGATTGAAAGCAAGCCTCATGAACTATATATCCCAGTAGCTACATCCAACATGTTCATTTTTTTTAGATAACTATTAAGTATGTCGGTACATTACGGGCAAGGTTCAGTTGGAAAATCATCCCAGAAGATGGTTTCATGTGTAAAACAATGAGAATGAAAAAGTTTGTTAGCAACTCAGCAATCAGATCTCATATAGTATTCGGATTAGCTTTAACCTGATGAGCGTAACAAACGCTATTACTTAAATCAATGTCCAAATTGAAACTTGAAAATCATATAATAACAATGATAGCCAGTTACTGTGCAAGTAGCACGGAATGTTCCGACCATTCTTAGGAAAATACAAAAAAATTTGTGATAAAAAATGGTGATAAAAAATCCGACGAAAAAAACGAACTTAGACATATTTGACAGTCATAGTAAGAAGGCCATTCGGAAAAAAAGTTTTGGAAGAAAATTGACTGGGAAAACAAAAAAATTGTTGCTAAAAATTTTAACCTTTGATTACAAAATGGCGTTAAATAAACTCCAAAAACTACTTTTATTTGAGTACAACTCAGTTTTCATGGCTTAAAGTAAGCTATTGTAAGCCTACACACTCACACCATATTAGTTCGAAATTAGACCAAAAATTAAAAATTTCAAACCGGTTTTTTTGGCGTTCGAATCACAATTGAAAGGACTTAAATTATATATATCACTCGACCCATTCCAATAGTTATTTGAGGTAAAAAAAAACTAAAAGAAAAAACTAAAACACACCCGAAAACAAAGTTCCTCCCCATTTTTCAAATGATCGGAACAATGAATCTCCGAACGATTCGCAGAATCAAAATAGCCAGTACACATTTCGAAAAGAGTCAAAGGACGTAAGGAAACTGCAACTTTCCAAAATCCAAGAAAATTATATGACTTTAGAGTTGCTTGCAATTCAAGAACAATTTATGAGTGACACTTATGAATAAAATTAACCTAATTTGAGAAAGTGGTTAAATAGGTAAATTATAATTCGACTGGAAAAACTAAGACTTAAAACCTACAACCGAAACTAGAAGTCGCTCACGTTTTTTGTAAGCTTAAAAACGAATACGTAAAAATCTGAATAAAACATAAGGAAAATCTTTCATTCATTTGTTTTAATCGGGAGCAAATCACAAAAACACTGCATCTTCCGAAAATCTTGAAAAAAAAGACAACAAAAAGAAAGAAAAAAAGATAGACAAAAAGATGGATAAAAAGATTTGTATATGCTTAAAAATGGCAGGTTAGCAATAGGGCTTGAACAAAAACACAGCATAGCTATGTACATATAGACTCATGCTGAAACAAGTAGATAACGTAAAATTCTTAAACATGTTAACATAGGGAACTCTTAAACATGGCTGGAAATGCCTAGCTCAATTAAATAGTATATGGATAAAAAGTTAGCTTAAAAAAAGTAAGAGAAAAATATAGATAAAAAAGATGGTTAAACAGATAGATAAAAAAGATAGACAAAAATGATAGATGAAAAGATAGAAAAAAGATGGATAAAAAAATTTGAATATGCTTAAAATCGAATTAAAGTCAGAGCTTCTATGAAACTTGTTAGTGCACAGTTAAAATCTGTGATGTGGCAACTAAGCCGACAAAACATCAGCAGACAAAGCAAGTCTGACAGTTCAGTTTCCTCGCTAGAAAAATTTCAATTTCTTACAACAAACCAATGTCCAGCCGGGACTCGAACCCCAAACTTTAGGTTGCAAAGGCGACCGCGTTAAGTCAAAGTCAAACCAAGTGTAAAGGAGCCTACAAATTACTAAGAACTAATAAAAAAGCAAGTTCAATTTTAAACAGATTTGTCAGAAAATTTGTTTGTGGGGTAGGGAAGCTTGGTTGCCGATTACAAGACTATTGCTCTCGCAAAAGTAAAAGTTACCGACTCCATTAATAACAAATAAACACCGGCGGTCACAATCAAAAGACACAATGTTTCGACCAAAGTTGATGAACTAGCTAAAAAGCCGAAAACTTAAAATTTTTCTTATTTAAAAGAGAGTATGTAAGGTTGATTTAGACTTTAGCAAGTAAAAAAAAAAAAAAAACTTTTAAAGAAGCCGACATAATTGAATGTGTGTGCATCACACAGGATAAAGCAAACACACAGAATTGAATTCGACCTCTTACAGCAAAAAGGTCTATTACCCGGTTGCACAACCCTTGCAATTTCCATAAAAGTGAACACTTTCAATAAACACTTTTACTTGCGATTTAGCCTAGAAAAAAAAAGATAGTTCGTACCAATACAATGCAAGGTTTTCATGTGCGAATTCTGTGAACAAAGTTGTTTGCGCGGAAAAATGCTAGTACCAGATTGCAACACCATTGTTAATCGCAAGGATAATGAAGTTAACATTGTAAATATTTTGTGAAATATCCTCGCTTATAAGTAACTCTTTCATTATTGGTCTTCAAAAACTATGGGTAAAAAAAACTAACTAAAATCAATCGCGGTACCACTTGCGATACAAAAAAGAATGATTATGATTAAAATTGTAAAAAGAGAAAATCAGAAAACTTCAAAATACGTTTTGTCAAAAAAAAGAACAAAGGCCGAATTATCGGTAACATAAATAATCCCACGCGCTAACAACTCAGCCATGGACGCTTATTTGATACCAAACAATGGCCACAAATAAAGCAGAGAACAGATGCTATGCAATTTCCAATGCTACACAGAAATTTCCGTAAAAGTGAACACTTTCAATAAACACTTTTACTTGCGATTTAGCCTAGAAAAAAAAGATAGTTCGTACCAATACAATGTAAGGTTTTCATGTGCGAATTCTGTGAACAAAATTGTTTGCGCGGAAAAATGCTAGTACCAGATTGCAACACCATTGTTAATCGCAAGGATAATGAAGTTAACATTGTAAATATTTTGTGAAATATCCTCGCTTATAAGTAACTCTTTCATTATTGGTCTTCAAAAACTCCCACGAAAGGAAGTTTCCAACTCTCTACAACTCATTCGAACTCCCTACAACTCATTCGAACTCCCTACAACTCATTCGAACTCCCTAACTACGACTCTAAAGATATATTCGTAATAGCTAAAAAAGAAAAATTGACGAAATATCATTTGAATTGAAATATTTATTTCAACATTAGGGATACGAGGAGGACGTCTGCCCTCGTTTCACACTCTAATGAAGAATTTCGACTCGAATGAAGACTTTCGTCAGATCATGAAATGGCCAGTTCAGCTCTCCAGGGTCTCTCTCAACCTCCTAATCGTTGATCTTGCGGTTTCTGCAGCCTTAGTTCGCACTGTGTAAGCACCACCAGCAACTTTTTTGCCACATCTTTTGCAGTCCCATACTCCGACAACTTTTCGTCTCATTGCATCTCTGCCACAAAAAGTACAAGTGTACTTAGCTCTTTGCGAGATCTCAATTTTTTTAATGGTCTTCCTCAGCGACGCACCATAACGGGTTCCGTACTTGCCGACGATTCCAACCTTCTTCGTTCGTTTGGCCATTTTAGATTAACAAGATCTGAAACAATCTTGCAATTTATTTATTGATCTGAAAGAATCATGCAATTTATTTTTGGTCCCAAAAAGTAATCAGATAAAACAATATGCACAGTGAAATATGCAATATGTAACACGTATCAGCCCCTTGTAATTACGGATTGGCAACGCTTAGTCCACACTAACAAAATATGAATGCAATTTCGTATAAATGTCTTTTATGAAGAAAAGCACATCGATTGTTCTTAAGTCATTTAAAAATTGTGCAACTGTGGGCTATCCTTGTAAAAAATAAACACTTTAATCAATAAAAATCAAAGAGAAAAAATAAAGTTTGTGTAAATTTCATAAACAAAACAAAACCACTGCCACTGTTTATCTTTTAGGTAAATCTGATTGAATAAATATTAGTATGTAAGTATGTTAAAGCGCTCGGACGTATACTATTTTCTTGTATGCTAATCCCATTTCGCACTGCTCTCATAAAAACGATTTTTCAAAAAATATATAGTACTATGTTGCTGTATAAAAACAAGTTTTCCTGCACGACAAAGCTACTTATTTGACGAATTGAATACTTTTAACTCAGATAGGCCTAAATTCTTCACTCAAATTGTTTTTCAAGTAACCTCACGAAGTTATTTGTTGATCCAATGAGTAATGTAGCCAGTAAATGTAAACGGCTCAAAACAAGTTCACTCATTGGCAGCAATCTTGTATTTATTGGTGACGGTTATGCAGTGTCAACATCAGGTATAATGAAAAAAAATGTGTAGCAATATTTGGGCAAAAATTTTATGGTAATATTCAAACATTGCAGTTCTCAAGTATTGAATAAAAATATATTTTTTATCGTAATCAGAAGGTCGAGATCCTTCATCACATTATACAGTCAAAATCCTACGAAATTTCTAGATATTGAAGAGTGAAGTATAAAAAGGATATTCAAACTTTTTCAATATGGTGTACGTGGAAAATTTCTCAAATTGATCAAATCATATTTGAACAACCGCTCTCAGAGAATTAAAGTAGGAGACAAAATATCTGGCCCAATTGAAGTAACTAGCGGGGTTCCGCAAGGATCAGTACTTGGAGCTTTACTATTCTTGTTTTTCATTAATGACTTGCCATCAACGTGCGCTGACTCGAAGCCTCTTTTACTAGCTGACGACTCCAAGTTTATTCGGACTAATAGTTCGACTTCTTTCCAGTCTGAACTTTCTCTAATTTATAATTGGAGTGTTGCTAATAAAATGCCCTTCAACGTCGCAAAATGTACTCACATCCATTTTGGTAAAAACAACGATACTGCATATAACTTCAACGGCGAAGTGATTCCTCGAACAGATGTTCAACAAGATCTTGGTATTCTTGTTCGTAGCGATCTTAAATGGAACAATCATTTCAAAGCAGTTGCCGCAAAATCCATCAAAGTTCTCCACATGCTCAAAAGAAACACGTCGAGTCTGCCAGTTTACAGCAAACTCAACCTCTACAAAAGCATGGTTGCTCCATCCTTGCTGTTTGGATCAAATTGTTGCGCCTTATCTAAGATAAACATATCAGTTCTAGAGAACGTACAGAAAAATTCTGTAATTGGTGTCTCCCTCACATGAGCTACACCAGTGCTCTAACCTTCCTAAACATTCTTCCAGTTGCTTATTACATCCAACTGAACACCTTTTTACTTCTGCGGAAAATTGTGACTGATTACTTCGATTACAACTTCAGCGAGCATATTCAATTCTTCCATTCACCTCAGGACTCACGGGAAGGGCCTTCGCAAGAGTTTTCCCTGCAAGAACCTACCCAAACGAGACCTCGAGTATTGCGACATGGTCCTATAGTCAGTTTTACCAGCATTAGGCCCTTGAAAAGTTTATGTGAGCAAAATTTTTGGTTCCAAGCTACTAGTAGAAAACACAATGGCGAAAACTCGAAAAAGCAACCAATAGCGGACAAGGAAGACCTAAATGTAGAAAACAAGGAACCTATCTTTTTCACGAAGAAACAAGACAAGACAAGAATGAATTTAAACGTAGCGATCTGCAGATTCGACTTTATTGATTTTTCGAGCGTTTTTTCATATAATCGAAACGAACCAAACTAACTACCGGTTCAAAACACCTCACGATGAAAACTATATTTTTTCTTGGTTTCCAAAGTAATTCTAACTTAGTTACAATGCAACTTGATGTGTTACGGTCTTATCAGTAAAACCCATGGTCATGACTGGCATTTTTGTTTGACACATGAATTGCCCTGGTGGATGTTGCAGAAGATGTATATAGCCGAATTCGACATGGAACATTCTCAAAGTCATGTAACATTCGTCTACTGCAGTCACACATGAGGCTTAAGAAAAATAGGCCCTATAACCATTGGCTCAAGAGTCAGGGACACTATCTCTTGTGTTTTTGTACCTCAAATCAGTCGGAGCCAATTCGGTTCGCTTGTGACATGAGACTACGACCCGTTACAGCTTAAAGGCTACTACTAAAATATCCCCCCACTCTAGAATTAATAACGTCCCCATACTCAGGTCTCTAGATACCCAAAATACATGAACGCCGTTAAAAACCGGGTTGGAACAATCCGTTAAGTTACTTTTTATTAGACAGTGGAACTTTGATCCATTTCAGATGGATCAACCTAAAACTCGCCTTACCTCAACATAACGATCATAAAACACAATCTAGAAATTTAAATTAGTACTCACATTGTAGCACTCTCAAGAACCAGGAAGTAAATAAGTCGGTAAGCAACTCAAGAATCAATAGAGTAACTAAGATGAGTTTAATGTTAGTCAGTTTCAATAACAAAACAAGTTTTTTACTCTAGACTGTGAGTTCTCGTGAACCATTGGGACACTCTAGCTGTCCACCTTTCCACCTATGGTTCACTCTGGTCCAGTTAATAATAGTACTCCAGTCACAACAATCCAGTTCGTGGGAATGCGCTCGTCTCTGTTTCAGATGGGACAGCTCTACTCTCGATTATTATTGCTACTGAAATTGCGAATAGAAATTTCCCACTGATTTTTCTAGCAACTTTCCCGCGATTGTCACTCGATCGTTCTGACTTCTCTTTTCTGATTTTCAGTTATCGCGAGAAAATCGTGCATGACAGGTTCCATTCGAAATTTTGAAAAATTAAATTTCACTCCAAAATCAAGTGTTTTTTGCTTCTCTCAAGGTCAAAACTTCCGAACATGACCGACTGGCACATCATCGCCACTTCCAGTTTACACTTCCATCAGTTTCAATGGCCGAGACACTGTTGTTCTGTTCGTCTTTTTTTCTTTCTTGTTGTACGAACCTTTGTAAGTTGAAAAGGTGCTCTGTTAAGAAATAGAAATGGCGAAAACCTTCCTATTTTCTACATTGTTTACCAAAAATGACAAATTCGATAACAAATTTTCGACATCAGTTCATTCAAAGACTCATTCGACATCATTTCATTCGATGTTAGTAGGATCAACAGTTCTATTCGACACTAGTTCATTCAAAGACTCATTCGACATCGGCATACTTTTCGACATTAGTTTTTCGGCACTGTTCGTGTTCGCCCTCCGAATAGAAGAAGAAGAAGAAGAAGATAGGGTAGAGTAACTAGGACCCCACCGGATACATCCTGAAACTACTAATGAGTATAATCGAAAAATTAGCCTAATTGTTGTGATAAACTTATTAAATAAGTTTTTTGAGAATGCGTTAAAATTGTAAATTCAAACAAACGTTTTCGCACATTTTTGTGCATCTTCAGGTTTAAAAAATTCTAAACTATCTGTACAAAATGATCAAAGATTATAAAAAGATGTTCCATGTAAGTTGTAACATAATAGCCCAGCGCCTATTATTAAATAGGCGCTGGGCTTTCCTCACAGACTTATCTTACCAAATCTCGCCGTCCCAGCCAAAGGCGAGTGAAGTTTCCCTGGCGTAACTAGACGCAAGAAGGAGTAAGCCGGTGAGTCGACCCCCAAAACGACGTCACGTGGTACCACTCCTTTTTTTCTTCCATCACCCTTGTCTAACCAATTTTGAATACTACTTGAAAGTATTCATGAAGAAGAAGAAGAAGAAAGAACACCTGAATTACTATACAGTAAAAAGCCGAGGCATCAGTATAGCAAAGTGTAAATAATAAAGTTGGTTAAAATTCGTTGGTTACATCAAACAAAAACACAACATCAGAAAACTAGCAATAAACAAAACAAAACAAAACAAGTTCGGTTACAGTTCAGAAATTGGTTGATTAAAATATATGAAGTTACGGATACTAAAAAAACTTCAGTTTTAAGAATTAAGAACGAGCTGGTATTTTAAATTTACAAACAATTTTATAGATAGTCCAAACATACAGCGTATATACAGAGTATATACAGATTCTCTTTCAAACAATGTCTGGAAAATTAAACTAAATTAAAATATATAGAACTAGCAAAAACGGAAATCACGCCACGTATTTGTATTTGTACATTTTGGATTGTTTCTCTATTCACTCACGTAAAATTCTTTCAATTTTTTCTTGAATCCTGTTCTCGATTTTTCTAAATTGCGCAAAATTATGGGCAGTGAATTCCATTTTTTAGAAGTCAAATGAAAAAATGATTTTTGTAGAGAAGCGGTTGAACAATGTTTGTCAAAAATAATTTGTTTCGTTCTTTTGTTGAGGCTATAATTGGCAGTCGGTAGTCTCAATGTATTTTGAAAAGCCTTCTTTTTTGTTTGTAAGATATTGGTATAAGTATGTTATACACTTTAACTCAATTCTTTTCTCGATTCCAATGAACGATTTGCTAATGCGAAGAAGGGAAGAAGATTTAAATTTCGATCTGAAATATGTTCTTTTTAACGCACAGTTCAACTGTTTCTCTAGAGATAACACCAAAGTAGCATTAATTTGTTTTAAAAATATTGCTGAATAATCTAAATGTGATAAAAGACAATGAAGCAAGGCAACTAATGATAATGTCGGCAGTTGTTGTCCAATTGTATCTATAGTTTTAATTCCTTGTGCCATTTTTTGAAGAATTGTTTTGATTTGAGCATGAAAAGATAAACTTGAATCAAGAATAAGGCCTAAATATTTGCATTCTAATTTTTTGGCAAAGTAATGCCCTTTAATTACTATTGTATCAGTATCTACATTTTTGCTATCATTTTTTTGACAAAATGTTATAAATTCCGATTTAGATGCATTTAGATTCAATTGGTTCTCTGCAAAAAATTCCGTTAGATTATTGAGTGATTTTTGCAATCGATTCAAAGCATTCTCAGAAATTATAGAAGAGAAAAAAACCATACAGTCGTCAGCATATTGAACTAAAGTACAACCTTCATATAATCGCTCTTGTATGTCATATGTCATTAACATATAAATTGAACAACAACGGACCAAGTACCGTTCCTTGTGGTACACCTCGTTTGATTTCAATCCAGTCTGAAAAGATTCCATTGACGTTTACTCTTTGAATACGTTTGTTTAGGAAGCTAGCAATAAAAGCATTTGCTCCATTTGAAAAACCGAGAGAAAGCCTTTTTTCAATTAAAACTTCATGCGAAATATAATCAAAAGCCTTGGACAGATCTAATAAAGCTGCATGTACAATTTTTTTTTGAATCTATTTGATTTCGAATACTTTCTGTCACATAAACAAGAGCATCTTGTGTTGAAATATTTTTGCGAAATCCGAATTGAAATGGTGTCATTATTTAAAATTTGTCAAGATGTTCTGTTATTTGGGCATGTAAAATTTTTTCAAAAATTTTAGAAAAAGCACCAGTTATTGATATTGACCGATAATTTTTTGCATCCATTGGGTCATTTTTCTTAAACAAAGGGGTTACGTGTGCTTTTTTCAGTTCGATCGGGAAAATGTTCTCATCTAAGCAAGTATTTATGACAAAAGTTAAATGTGGAACTATAACTGATTGACCGTCAATGATTGCCCAAGCAGGTACGGTACAAGGTGCGAGAGGTTTTCTAACATTGATTTTTCGAACTATATCAACACATTTTTGGTTTAAAATTACGAACAAATTTTTTTTCGATAGGAACATGTTGCTGAAGAGCACTAGAAATTAAATAAATCATCGTCGAGAACATGTTTTGTGCGTCCGTACATTGATATAAGAGATACCAAGGAAGAGCGGAGAGTGTATTGCAAATATTCATTTTTCTGATAGTTTTTCTTATTGAAAGTCGAAATTATCCTCGGTAAACTTTTACCGCATTTTATATCCGTCAAAATAAATGAAGCAAAATGGTCGGTTTTATAGATTGTATCTAAAAACAAAATTCAATGCCGTTTGTTTCATAGTCACTGATAATGTAGTCGATATAAGTTTTAGCTGAGGAACTAATTCTGGTCTCATCGTTTGGACAAAAAACCTTCAATCCATATGGAATGATTATAGAATCTAAATTTTCTTTTTCTTTGCTATCCAGATAATTTATGTTATAATCGCCCAGAAGCGTAATTTTATCAGAAACTGAAAATGCATTATCTATGTTAAGCGTTAATTGTTCCAAAAAATTAATAAAGTTTGATCTGCTTGGATTATAACACAAATTAACTAACATTTTTTCTTTACTGGAAATGTTAAATGTAGATTTGCACTCAACCCACACTGACTCATGTTTTTCTTTATCAAATAAATTTAAATCAGGCCTCAGTTTCGGAGCCAATTTGACTAGTATATATAACAAAACGCCACCGCCTTTCTTTTTCACCGCTGATTGCCTATCATATCTGAACATCGCATGCGTTCTATAAATTGATTCCATAAATTGTCACTATCTTCTTTTTTAAGCCACGTTTCGGAAATTCCTGTTGGTTTTATGAATCACCCGCAAAGAGCTTCCTTTCTCGCCCCAGTTGTCTGTGTTTCAGGTGGATGCCGTAATTCCAGGCAAGACGCATCCCTGAGTTCTCACAGAAACTAGTTATCGGGACTTCAAGGACCAAATATATCAAACCAGCTCTAGTAAAATCAACAATTCACTCCTACCGCGGCGCAACGCTTCATGATCTGTTTGAAACAGTTTTACAATACAGACCAAAGCACCTAAATACAGTAACAATAGTTGCTGGATACAATGAAAACAGGCTGCATCCACAAGAATTGGAACAGCAGTGGAAAAACTTGAATAACCTCGTAACTAACAAGTTTCAGCCCAAATCACTTATCATCCCCAAAACAATTCCGAACTGCAATAACACTGAAATAAATAGCCAAATTTTTTTATTCATAATCAGGCGTTGTTTAAGTTGATAAATAGATTGAGAATGCAGTAAAATTGTAAATTCAAACAAAAGTTTTCGCACATTTTTGTGCCTTTTCAGATTTGTACACCAACATACACTCATTGTTTCACCTAACGTCAACCTAAATCTAACGCCTCAAATGTTCTGCCGTAAAGGCATCAATTTCTCGTTCTACGGTAATGATTTCTTTACTAATTTTCTTGCAACCATAATCTATAAATTCTCTCGCTAAAATGACACCGCCGTCCTTCCTCAAATGGCTACTCAAAGAAATTGCCTTATTTGTGTAGAAACATCTTGCGAGGCGGAGGTGTTTGGTGCTTTACATTCCCAGGCTACATGCATGTAAAATGCAGCAGCCTAGCCCGCAGCAGTGATTATATGAATATTTCAGCTGTCATCGCTGCACCTCCTAATTTCATTCAGCTAACGACACTCATGAATGCAATTCCCCAACCCTAGCTACAACCATACTCCCCCAAACTTACCCTCACCCTTCCAATGCCCCACACTCACAAAACTCAAGAGAACCCTCCACTCTAGAAACCAGAGCAACTCAAGACCCATGGTCAAACCCCTGTCCAGAACTCATAGAAACCTCAAGGAAATTATGCTCTGAAGTGGTCCACTGGAAACCAGTCTTCATGATCTTATCGGAAAATAAGGTTGGTTATAATTTCATTGAAACACTCAATAGACCTCTGAACATCTTAATAGAAAACATCAAAAATACCTTCGCAAGGCACGTAGCAATGATCTTTCCACACTTACTACTGTGCAAAACGAAGTCCGAAAATGAAGGATCATTATCCAAAAAAATAGCAAGGCGACTTAAGCATTGGCAAGACGGAGACCTGGATGGTCTATATAACCAAAGGAAGCCGAATGCGCTTGACAAAAGGAAGTAGAAGAAAAACAGAAACTGAAGCACAACAGTTCCATAAAAAAATGAATACTGGTGAAATATTAAGCGCAATTGCAAAACTAAAGGACCCATCCAAAAGCGTTCTTTCGCTCGATGAGATCATCAAAGGTAAGACAGTAGAACAGACTCTTATAGAGAAGCACCCATCATCTGAACCAATTGAAGAGAACTATAGTACACCAGTCTCAAATGAAACAATTCGCTTCCATCCATCGATATTTGATCAGATAAACGGTCAACATATCAAGAAAGCAGCCATGAGAACGCATGGATCTCATGGACCATCTGCTCTTGATGCAAATGAATGGAGAACAACTTCAACACACTTCGAGCAATAATTATTGAGATTTCAAAAACAATTGCAAAAATTGCCCAAAAAATCGGCAAACGAAGAACTAAATCCAGAACTTACGGAACCATATAACGCATGTAGGTTAATACCCCTGGATAAAAATCCAGGAGTAAGACCCATAGCCATAGGAGAAGTTATGAGTAGGAT